TACGATTATTTACTATTTTTGCGAAGCAACTGAGCGTTTATCGCTTCGAAATATAAGATTTCGCATTTTACGGTATACGCTGGGGCGGGGTCAAATTCAAAAATTATGGGAATTTTATCGCTAAAGACCCCACAAATTGGAGGAAAAATACACTCGCTGGAAAGAGGAGGAAAAGCTGCATCGAATAACACCTTACTAGTGCGCCGTTTCATGATGTCTGTCTTTTGGCATCACCAAAAGTGAAATTGGATAGCATCAGAAAAATAATTCTAAAAAATTTTCAAGGGTCGAAATTGAAGGTTGTGAAAAATTGCCAAACTTGGACATAGTAAAAACTACGGGTTCGAAATGTCTTCGTTTATCTCAGTGAGCATAAGAGTAATCAGCATGGGAGCACGACAATTAGAAAAAGGAGGAAAAGATGCGTCGGGTAGTGCTTAGAGCGTTTCTCTATCTTCGTTCCACGTGTTTTTATGATAGGTTGAAAAAACGGACAAAATTTTCGGGACAACCTAATATTTATATTCTTGTAACTATATTATGGATTTTATCCTATCATTTGTGCTTTCCCGTTAGCTTGTTTTAACCTGAATTAGGAGAAGAACACTGAGTGTCATTATATCTACTCTATGAAGCACAGATTATGCTCGCACAAAGACTATATTTTGTTTTATATTCTTTATTTACTTTCTTTTCAATGCATCTAAACCCCTCGAATAGTTTAGTGACAGCAAAAGTTGATTATTCGTTCAGACGTGGAGTGATAACCCTGAAGGATCAAATTTACCCGTACTGTGTCGTCTAAACTTTTTTGAGATATAAACCTGCAAATGGAATCTTTTTTGTTTGTTGTTTTCAAATGAATTGCTGCTAAAATATTTCCAATTTTTCACAATACTAGAAAGTTCAAAAATGGAAAACCAAAAAATACAGTGACCCCCAAAAAGTTGCGGACAAGTCGTCTTCCTTCTTTCATCGCTTATTTTCAGATGGAAAACAAAGATGAAAAAATGGTTAGATTGCATGGGGTGATAGAGCTCTTTAAGAGCTACAACCTTCACGCTGCGCTTTCTGGAAAACATGTATCCTAAAAATTGTAAAAATATTTTTCTAAAAAAAGATCCTAAAATGGCCACGTCACAATGTCGCGGATATTAAATCTTCGAACGCGAAAATTTTCTTTTAGGTCTTTTTTGCAGCAAAACAAAAGTTCTCCTGACAGGTAAGCATACTATATTGTAGAACTCACCGAGGACAATAATCGAGTAGAGGTTACTTTCAAAAAAAAAACCCAAACATGAATTTTATTTTGCTTCTTTTCAAAAAATAACTTCCAATTTCCCGCTTCAAGGCAAATTTCTTCACATGGAAACCCATTCAAGACATCCTAACAAAGCTGTTCGGCTAAAATGGATGCTTTTTGCCATCTTCTATGCATCGCACGTGTGTTGGTGAGTTTCTTTGCTGAAAATGGCTTTTGACAGTGCGTGCACATGACCCCACCTGCACCTCATCACTGACTTGCACCGCATTGCAGGGTTGTAACTCGGCCAGCAGTCATTCTACGAGCCTGCTAGTAGGCTCATTCGAAAGGGCTTGACTTCCTGGACACGACGGTATGCAAAGGTGTTGGGTATGAGAAACAGCGAGATTTGGCTGATGGGGTGATAGCGCAGCGTTATAGGTGATTGGAGAGGAGACTCATATCAACACCAGAACATTCCTAAAACTTCGGAATGGATCTATTACAAGAACATTTACAGTTTTAAACTTCCAGGATGGAACTTGTAGCGAAAGAAGCTTTGTTCAACTTTAGCTGGAAATCCTCAGCCTACCACTGAAACTGCGCTTTTTCACCCTATTCGCCAATTCTCTGCTGTTTCTCATACCCAAATCTTTTGCATACATCGTGTCGAGGAACTCACGCTCTTTCGAATGAGGCTACTTGGAGGCTCGTAGAGTGACTGGCGGCCGAGCTACAGGCCTGCAAAGTGGTGCAATTCAGTGGTGAGGTGCAGGTGGGGTTATGTGCACGCACTGTCAAGAGCCGTTTTCAGCAAAGAAACTCACCAACACACGTCCGTTGCATAGAGCATGGCAAAAAGCATCCATTTTAACCAAACAGCTTTGTTTGAATGTCTTGGATAGGTCTCCATGTGAAGAAATTTGCCTTGAAGCAGGAAATTAGAAGTTATTTTTTGAAAAGAAGCAAAATAAAATTCATGCTTGGGTTTTTTTGGATGTAATCTTTACTCGATTATTGTCCTCGGTGAATTCTACAATAGTATGCTTACCTGTCAGGAGAACTTTTGTTTTTGCTGCAAAAAAGACCTAAAAGAAAATTTTCGCGTTCGAAGAATTAATATCCGCGACATTGTGACGTGGCCATTTTAGGATCTTTTTTTAGAAAAAGATTTTTACAATTTTTAGGATACATGTTTTCCAGAAAGCGCAGCGTGTAGGTTGTAGCTCTTAAAAAGCTCTATCACTCCATGCAATCTAACCATATTTTCATCTCTGTTTTCCATCTGAAAATGAGCGATGAAAGAAGGAAGACGACTTGTCCGCAACTCTTTGGCGGTAACTGTATGTACATGCAAATTACACCCATATTCTGATTTCTGCATTTCATTTCAATTTCATTTCATTTCATTTTCATTAGATACGTTCCAGGCGTTCCAAAACATTGATAAAAATGTGTTAGTCATACATGGAACACAACAATAACGAACATTTTGCCACATTTTTCCAAGCCCAGGCACTTGCGTAAACGCGTACAGAATTAACAATACTTGTACTTGCACGAACTCTATGGAGAAACTCTCTGGAGAAGTATCCATGCCCCCTCGTTTGCCAGCAGAGAACGATCTTATTGTGACTTCATAATAGCAAACCGGAAGTCAGCTGGCGGGTATACTGGCACCCCCGCCCAACACAGTTTGCTGGGGAGGGTACAAAGCTCCAAGGAAATTTGAAAGATGTTGTAAATCGGACAAGCATCAGTCATGTTGGTAAGCTGTAGCAAACTAGTGTTTGACAGTAGGTAGGCTGGGCTCGAAACTATGTGGTAAAAGTCTAAGTTAGTAGAAGAACAAATTTAGCAAAGTAGACATAAACTAAAGATTGTCGGACGCATGTCTGACGGGAAGTCAGAAAAGTACGTGGCTAGCAATATGAGCATGAAGCAATGCAGAGAAGCTCTACCTGCAAAGAAAGAAATCATTCAAGTTCAGCTTTTTGATTTCACGTTTGATTGATATACTATTTTTGCAGGTTAAAAGTTCTTTTGGTATTTTTTCCACATTCTCGATGCACGAACAAAAAAATCATTTTCTAACAAGGTGCAAAACTGATTTCGCCCACAGCTTGTTGGTAGATAAACAGAAAATCCGCTAGTCATTCCATGACGAGGCTTGAATACCCAGTACTTGGAAGGACTCAGTTTAGTTTCTCCCCTGTAAATCTAAATGCAAGAACGAGATTGTGAATAACTCTACGATATGAGAGGTATTCAAGACCAAGCGTTTTCAAGCGTTCATCATAATGTGGGAGCAAATGTGGATATGATAAATTCGGAAAACAACGATAAAAGAGAAGTTTGGTAAAGACTCTCTGAACCCTCTCCAGGGTCTTTATGTGCTTCCTAAGAGAGGAGCTCCACACAGGACTTGCATATTCTAATAAAGGGATTACGTATGTTTTTTACAATTTAACCGATATTTTGACGTCATTGACTTTAATATTGCGAAAAATGGTGTATAAAGTTGAAAAAGCTCGTGAGGTAACACTTGAAACTTGCAGATCAGGTTTTGAGGTGTCGTCGAATACGACTCCCAAATCCTTAATCGATGTCTCTTTGGATAGCATGACTCCAGCGTGTTCATAATTGGCGTCGTTTATCGCACCAATATGAAACACGACACTCTTTTTGACGTTTATCGAGATATCCCAAATTGCGCACCATTCAATACATCTAGCGAGTGTTGAAATTCATAAGAAATGAGGTTTATTACTTTCCATATTTACATCCGTAAGGTGAAGTGCTGATGTAATTTAGTAACTACTAATGATATATGATCAAAACATGGTCTCGATTTAGGTAATTTCTGCTGCCTTGCGTATTCCCGCTGGAACACATGTTTGTCGACTTTCATACAACAACTAAACTGTCAATAGCTTTGTTATTGAACCATTTAATTTGTATATATGTATCAACATATCAAAGCGCCCACGCATAAAAAATAAATAAATTTATACAATATTGATTATTTGCCTATGCTTATGCGATCACATCTACACTTTAAGTGTCGATTTTGGTATAGATTTCTCTAATAGTCAATCAAAGAGTAGCGTACCGACGACATCAAACGAATTTGCTTCCCCCTTCCCCCTCCCTTCGAGAATGAGTCGCGAAATCTATAGTGGATTACATGTGTCTTGAAATGACCAAAATGACTTGCTTTTACTTGTAAAAAATCACAATATTTTTTCCGAATATTCTTAAAACTCAAGTTAGCCCTGCAAAAATTTCCCGAGACGATTGCCGCCATGTCGCTCTTTCGAAAAGTCGTGTATGCCACGATTTTGGAATGCATTCCAGAATTCTGAAGGGTACGGCTAATTGCACTCCCCTCATTCGGAAAAATTTGTGTGGCTTTTTTCCTTTTTAAAAGTCTCGGACGCCACCTGTTCTAAATACCTGGGCAAGTATGAATTTAACCGTATTTGTTAGATTGCGAATACAAAACCTTGAACTTATCAAATTCCATCATTAAATGGTATCTTCAGATAGTTTGCCGAAGGAGGTACCTCGAAGTCATCATTGAGAGATAATTCATCCTTTCACTGAAAGAAGCTTGTTGGTGTTCACCAAAAATGCTTAACCGTCAATAATATTCCTCTTTGCTCAGCTAAACACCATCATCGTTATCCACAGTTTGTTCAAATTTTTCTTATCTGCTCATATTCCTATTTGCAGTAAATCACCCAATGTTTCTGGAATGGCCTCACATGGTGTCAGTGTTCATTACATTTGCTACTGTTCCGTTGTACTTGCTTATAATGTGGGCGCTTCTGTGGAGACCAAAACTATCTTCTTTTCATATTCTAATGTTGTCTCAGGTGAGAAAGTTTTCGAGAAATCTTTCATCATTCAGGCAAACCCACAATAAATCAGTAAAGCCTTTCGGTGGTCGGTTCTACAGCTTCCCATTGAGCAATATTTTTGGTGTCTATGAATTTCGATGCGGTGCTCAATGGCAAACAGAATGCTCAAATAGCTTCCAGCCATACCCTCGATACCTAGAGCCGCGTACTCTTGTAACCTTTACTTTGAGGGTTATGAGGGGACACAACCCACCCTGGAAAAAAAAGTCATCCGGGGCGAAGCCCCGGATTTTATTATCCTGACTATATCGGAACGAATGTTAGTGAAGCAAATATAGGAAGTAATATCTTTGGTTCATCTCAGCGAAACCGAGAATTTGTGTTTTCATAGTCTTTTTTACGTTTAAGAGGAGGTTTCTATGAAATTTTCGCCAGAATTTAGTACAACATTTCTCAGTTGACCTCTTATATGCCCAAAATCGTTCTTCACAAGTTTAGGAAAGCTGTTGGAATTAAACAGAAACGAGAAACTGCGCTTAAATCTTGAGCAGAGTCGCGCACGAAAATGCTGGTCTATTTGGTTAGTGAGTGATTTTCAAAGCTTGCGACGTTGTCATTTCTCCTCGTCGTGTCATGGCGATCAGAATGATTTATAATGTTGCAGGGTTTCGCTGAGACCCCGCGGAGATCTACGACCAAAGCCAAATGCCCCGTCGGCTCTGGTCTCTCCGCTGCTTGTCTGCGTCTCCGCGCGTTGCGCGTCACCTCGCTACCCAAACGCGGGGCGCGGGGCATTTGGCTCTGGTACCCTTTTCTTCGCCATTTCGAACCCAATTCTAGCAAGCTATACATTATTTTAAAGCTCTTGATCTATATTTTCACATGACAACGTCCCAAAACCACATTTTTTTAAAATGATCGAGAAATTCTGGCAAAAATCTTGTTTTCGAAAATCTCTTGTTTTTATCTCGATTTAACTCTTTTCACGCGGTTTTTCCATGCATTATATAGATCTTGCTTCTGTTCATAATGCAGGCAACCACACAGCGCCCATCTCTTCGATTCTGGTGGAATTTTTTGCGAAAAATTGAAAAGTGCGTTTTTATTTACCTTCATCTGTTTCAGTGCTTTCGCAGTGATTTTTTTCCAATATGGGCGATTGTCGCTCAGAACAATAAGCGCAACCATCCAGATGACGTCCCAGGAAACAGGAACGTCAGTGTGGGGGTAAAAATTCAAAGAACGCATCAAAAATTAAATTTGGTTTCGACATTCTTTTCGACTCAGTAAAAAAGAAACTTCGCGTTTTTATAACTAATTCCTTTTTTGTTTAACTTCTTCTTGATAACCACTCCTTCCGTAACATGTTTTTTGAAACAATCACAAAAAAATTAACTCTTCTTAGCTTTCCCCCGCGAAAACTTGCACATTGAAAACCGCCAAATGAAAGATTTCGAACCTCATTGCAGCGTTTTTATCCGGTTTTCAGCAGTTTCTTTTGCTTTTTATATCTGTTCTACGTCATTTTCTTTTCTCTAATCTTCTTTAAACAACCTTCACTTTTTATTAGGTCAGATGTTCAAACAACCTTCACTTTTGCCTTGTCTCTAGACTCGAAGGTATGCTTCCAGCCACTACATTGATCATCCACCTTCATTACACTGATACCAGCCAGTTACATATGCGTTTGGTTCATGCAACAAAAGTTACTATAAGATTTCTGTGGTTTTGTTAGCCGAAAAATCGAATAAGTTTTGTCTGGCTGTTCCACAGCGTACAAGTATCCTCTGGTTTCTTGTTATGTCTGACGCACCAAGATAACGTTGTAAAATTAAGAAAAAAGAAGATCTTGTTCCAGTCGGCACAATTAGCGACGAAATGATCTTATTCTTGGTCCGTCTTTACCACAGAATACATTGTTTTATCACAAGGTTTGGGAGCAGTTTAGAATTTGCTGGCGCGGCTGCGGACGAATAAAGTAAAGCAGAATTCGACAGTTCGCTTCCTTGGCAAAGGCAACCTAATCGTTTTTTCCTCCCCCTCACCCTCCTCTTGCTACACTTTTGAACGAATTTTTCAAACTTCTTGAATGCTTCAGATACATAGAGGATGTCCCACAAAAATATACACAAAAATGTGTTTGGTCGTTAATGGCTCTTTTATTTTGATGTCTTTAGACGATCTTTAGGTACCATTATATAGTGCTGGCTTCAACTTAGATTTACAGTATGGAGCGAATCATCGATCTCTCTTTATTATGTAGGGTTACATTAGAACCTTTGACAATGATTTAGGCCATTGGAGGGCCTTAGCTCGCTTCGTGAGATAACCAAACAAACCAAAAACTTTTACACTAGTAATGGAAGTTGCATTCAAATATGAAGTTTACACGTCACAACGGTGCATTCTTCCTATGTTATTCATGCAGACCGTAACAACTAAATTCGCACTTATCAAAAATGCGATTAGACCGTGAAAAAAGCGGGAACACTCGTAGAAAGTTGTGTAGTGGAATCAGCATTCTTGAAAACCCTGGTACACAATTTTTCAGATTTTTTGAAAAAAATTTTGTCGGACGGTGGATTGTATGTCTCCTTTTTGTAGAACCTTGGCATGTTTTGTAGATATTGTTCAATTGTTTTAAGCCGTAACAGGTTTTTAAAGGAACACTTTATTTACTGCCCGACGTTTCGGCTAAATGACGTCGTCAGAGGCCTGAAAGCGAGTCAATTGCTCCTTGAACTAACGATCTAAACCACCAGACACTTCCTCCAAACCCTGCACTTGACTCATCTATTGTAACGCAGATAAGTTTTCAAGTTGAACAGCTTACCATGTATTCCTGGTGAGGAACGTAAGGGTGTTAGCTGCCTCTCACGGTCCCCCCCCCCCCCGCCAGCAAATGATGACAAAATGAGGTACCCGAATAAGTATGACACGCTTAAATAGTGTAGGCTACTCATAGCTCGCAAAATAGTAGAAACGACTTCAGATCACTAGTGATAGACAAATGTTCGTCCTTGTTGTTCATTTTAGGATTATAGCAAGTATGAATGAAGCCTCTAAAGCTTTTCGAGCAACAATATGTTCTTCGACAGTCAAAATGCATCACTGGACTTCAAAATCATCTCCTCCATAGTCTTCTTTCCTGTGCTTTCTAAGAGGGCTTACAAGACTCTGTCTTCTCTTTCTAGCCAGATGTTCGCTGACACGTACATGAAGTGGTCGACCAAAATGGATGAGTGCTTTAGGATTCTCAATGAACAATCGCGGTACATCAGTTTGACAGGACAGAAACCACACGATGGCTGGCTACCATATCTAAATACACAGGTGATGTTGGAAAATGGAGCAGCACACGTCAAATGGTATCGGAAGGAGAGTTCTAAGAATATAATTCTGCATGTCACACCTGCGCATCCATCTGCTGTAAAACGAGCGATTATTCGCAATATGTTTAAAACAGCGCGTGGTGTTTGCAGCGGTGAAGTTGGGGGACTGGAATCTACGAAATTGGCATACGAGATAGTTGCTAAGAATGGTTACCAACTGCAGTCCAGCTCTTGCAGGAGAACATGCGCAAACGGTAGCAGTCAGATCCGATCACGTATATCGCTTACCGTTCGTGTCCGATAGAGTAAACAACGCTTTTAAGCAATGTCTAATACAAACGCATCTGGCGAATGATGTTGTTCTGTTAGGAGACTGTTCGAAATGCGGAGTGATTTACCAGCTAGAGTGTAAGATATGCCACGCCATTTACATACGCGAAACTGGTCGACCACTTCATGTAGGTGTCAGCAAACATCTGGTCAGTAAGAAAAGAAGAGTCTTGTAAGCCCTTTTAGAAAGCACAGGAAGACGGTGGAGGAGATGATTGAAGTCCAGTGATGCATTTTGACTGTCGAAGAACATATTGTTGCTCGGAAAGCGTTAGAGGCTCCATTCATACTTGCTTGTAATCCTAAAATGAGCAGCAAGAACGCATTTGTCTATCACTATAATCTGAAGCCGTTTTATTATTTTGCGAGCTATGAGTAGCCTACACTATTTAAGCGTGTCATACTTATTCGGGTAGCTCATTTTGTCATCATTTGCTGTAAGCGACCGTGAGAGAGAGCTAACACCCTTACGCTCCCCACCAAGAACACATGGTAAGCTGTTCAACTTGAAAACTTATCTGCTTTACAACAGATGAGTCAAGTATACGGTTTGGAGGAAGTGTCTGGTGGTCTAGATCGTTAGTTCAAAGAGTGATTGACTCGCTTCTAGGCCTCTGAAGACGGCATTTAGCCGAAACGTTGGGCAGTAAATAAAGTGTTCCTTCGAAAACCTGTTACGGCTTAAAACAATTGAACAGTTTGTCTGGAAGTTCGTATCGTAATCCTGCAGTAATGAAAAGCAATCGGTGACTCGCTTCATACTGTTCTAAGTTGAAGCCAGTACTACAGTATAGTACGCAGAGGTTGGCGAAAGACATCAAAGCATTGAGGGCTATTAAAGACCCAGTGTGCACATTTTTGGAATACCTTGTATAAATAGAAGTCTCGAAATTGGGAACCGAAGCTTTGCTTCAAAGTTCTTTCTGAACCTTCTTCTTAGGATTAGCCTCATCCCATGTTGAGGGTGAAGGACTATATGTCACCCAAAGAGGGTCCCACGCGCACATCCGCAACAGACCACGTAGCCATGCTCAAAAGCAGTGGCTCGGGAAAATTGCGACTGCGAGCTTTTCAAGCCTACATGGCCTTTTGAATCCGTTAAGTATAAGACTGTGCTCAAAAGTAAAAAAGTGCTTTCTTGGGCTTTTCCGGCCATGGAGATTGCTGAGGGGCGAGCGATTACCGCCAGAAACTGCGACTGGCTGCAAGAGACTCTAAACCCACCCTCTTTGGCGCCGACTGCCTGTTTGGCTCAGGCAGCCAGTCGCGATTCAGACTAGTCGGCGATCGCTCGACCAGCCCCTCCAGCAATCTCCAAGATCGGAAAAGTTATGAAAAGCAATTTTTGGCTTTTCAAGCGCGATGCAGCGCACCCAGCTCACAATTGCAATTTTCCGAGCCACTGCTTTTAATATAGATAATACAGATATTTATATAGCAACTGTCCGCGCGGAATGGAGCCTACCGGAGACATATAGTCCTCTATCAAGTGTTGACAGAGAGATACAATGCTCGTCAAACTTGTCCCGCCCCTCGTCAGATATTCAACCTCATTTGAAGAAAGTTTGGAGAGCTTTCCAGCAGCCCTTCTTCAATAGATAATCAAAGAGCGATTTCTGAGATCACCTCATTGTCCACCTCATTGTCGAAAGTCCTTCTTCCAAAAATGAGTTACAAGTGGTTACAAGGTTTTAGATATGAAAACTCCACGTAGACGATATCGTCTGACTTGAGAGTTTATATCAAGATGGAATCTATTCTATAGATGTATCCGTTGCAAATAAACTGCTCACTGGTTTGGGTTCGCGGTGCAAATGATCTCATCTGCGCCGCGAACCCAAACCAGTGAGCAGTTTATCTGCTCATCAGAAGAAATCAGCATTGTGATGAGCAGAAGAAACTGATTTCAGCATTTCTTCTTTTCTAAAGTGTGGGTAGCCCGTCTTTGTTCAAGATTAGATGTGAATAAAACATGTCTATTACCGTTGCAAGTCATATACATTCATAGTCCTCTCGGAAAGACGTACAGAACAGATTTCGCAGTCGTTGCACCGTTTGCTACAGTCCCCTACTGCGCCTAACAGAGTGTTCGTGGCGGGACCAGCGCGTTCCCACGAACTTTAAGATGAACCTTATGCAAAATCAGTTCTTGTCCGATGTCCGTTCTGGGCGTAGCAAGAACCACAAGGATGTTAAAACATGGGCAGTTTTTTTTTCGCACCTAACACAGGTGATGTATCATACGCAGATTCTGAGTCTATTGCTTTCAAAACCGCTGTCTCAATTGCCATATTCGTAGTTTTTTGTTTTCTTCTCTCCTTTCAGCTCTGGATCATCGTTCTTTCTCTCTTTCAAGGTTTTACTACTAGGGTAACGAGCGTACCAATGTAGCGAAGGTTCCCTAGTAGACTTACATTCCGGTCATCTCATTCTCCTACTCTGAGTTTTCGCCATCTATAGGGCGAGTGCTGTTTTTTTGTTGTTTCAATCCCCTCAATAGTAATAAATGAGTGATAAATGGAAAGTAAACATGATTATTGGTATTTCTTACCTCCATACACTTCACTCCCCAATCCTATCATAAGCCCTAAAACTGCGATGCTAGCTAGTCAGTGTACTATAGGCCGTCCGCGCTGCGCACGGAGAGCGACGTTGTTGCGTACAATGAAGGCAGTTCACGACTGGAAGAAGCGCAGAGAAAAACAGGCGGCGAGAGTGCACGAGGAAAGAGGAGTACGCGCAATACACACCTTGCGCACTCTCCGCGCCCTGCGCGGACGGCCTATACCTACCGGCTATTAGTCACTGAGTATAACTTAAATATCGATGTGCTATGCACATCATACAATTCCGGAATCCGAACGAATAATGCTTCCCTTAGGATGCAGCCTTACGTACAAATGGTGACAAAATACGAAGAGAAAACGCTGCAGAGTGAAAGTGATTATGGGTGCAGCTTGCACCGCAGGTTCTTTTTGAAGTTCGTAAGTGCGCGATGATCCTGCCAGCAAATAGCGGCTTGCGACGAAAACAGTTCCTAAAGCTGTTACATTAGAGTGTTCTTTGGCATGAGCTCAGTGTCAGTGGATGGAAAGACGTTAGCAATAGTTAAGCTGTCACACTATCTTGAGTTCTCAGACTATACACAGTATAAGATTCAGATTCATCCGTCACTCCTCCATGAAGAAGAAAATATGTAAACTGTACTAGGTTATGTGGTAAAATACAGCTTTCAACACCTATCAAGGTGATGTTGTACAACTCAACAACTCATCAAAAATGGCAAAACTCCAAACATCCTTAGTGCGACATTCGTCTCTGGATTTTACCAGCACCAGTTTCCAGAAGATGCTTCAAATAGAAAATAAACAGAATAACAGCTATTTTTTTGATTCCCGAGAAGTATCATCCATCTAAACGGGTCTGTCCAGTTTCTATGCGTAATAATAGAAATTCTCAACTGATCCATTCTACATTTGATGGGAAAACAAGTGCGACAGTGACTGTAGTCAGTTTAGCTTAGGGTGATTACGTTTAAATGCAAATTGTGGGTCGGAATGCGTACTCTCCCTTCTTCCAAATACTTGACGTATTGATCCTAATGCTCTGCCGAATGAGTCAAACTCTTGGCAATAAGTACTCAAATGCAATCTCCAACCAGGGACGAGGTGATTAACGCGGCTTCGAAAACAGTGAGTTGAACGCGGTCCCACCACGAACAACCTGTTAGGCGGGGTAGGGATACTGTAGCAAACGGTGCAACGACTGCGAAATCTGTTCTGTGAAAGACGTGACCCTTGGACACAAACAAATTTAGGCATGACCATCCATATCATTTTTTCGCGACTAATATCGACCATTGGCAAAAGAGTACGTGTCATATACGACCATAGGCATACGAGTCAAGACCCAATGAAAATTGATTGTTATTCGCTGTGGATAGATTATGTCCAAATCATGTCTAATGCTTAATTTGAGCTTTCGTTCGTCCCCAATGATGTTACTGTTATTTATGCTTTCCTTTAATTGCAATAAAGCTGGTGGTATTTCAGCAGTGCTTTTCTTGTTTCTTGAAACCAATAGAGAATGAAAGGGAGGTAGAGATGTTTGTTTGAAAGAAATCACTGAGGGCAAAACGTTTGACGTTAGGAAAATACAGTACAGGTTTTTCTGTTAATGGGTCTGGAGCTTCTTGTCTTGTAACTTACCATTTAGTTTTGTTTTCCTTGAAGCTGGGGAGTAGCTGGCCTCCTGCGTGTTCGATTTTTTATTTTCCTCTTTGATGCACCTCTTGTGTAATTATAAATAAATAAATAAATGAATAAATAATGAAAGCAGAGAGTTGCTGCTGGAAAATAGTGAATTATTTGCTTGTGCAGCATCGCGCACCGGGCATTATCGCACATCCGCGCGCGATGAAAAAATCATTGCGCCTTACGGGGTATATTCTGGCATCTAAAGAAAATGAAATGCATTGATATAGTAAGTTACAAAATTCTGAAGTCATTGTTGTCTATTTTCATTATTGTTTTATGTTTAGGGCACAGCTGATATATTTTGTCTTATCTCTTTCACATTTCTGACTTCACTACGCGCCTCTAAGTTGCTAGAAAACTTCTATTGGGAAAATCGATATTTTTTGGCAAGCACAACCTTCGTGCTTGTCTACTTTACCATATTTCTCAGATGCATTGGCATTACATTGATTTCAGTGCAAAGATATATCAGCATTTGCCTATTTCGCACTACGGTTGAGAAGGCAAGTCTCTAGATTTTTTAGCGTAACAAGATATAGGTGCCGTAAAACCTAATTGCCCGCGCCGTGTTGAACACCAGCGTAAGCGAGCGGTCGTCGCGAACGACTGTCGGCGTTCACTATATTCCAAAAAACCTTTCTTTAACTTTCATGTTGTTATCGTCAATGCAAGGTATATCTCGACGAAAGTCCCCCTCAAAAGTTTAAAAAATATGTGTGGAAAGGACGCGCGCTCATTGTCGCTCGAAAAATGCCTGTAGCGCTTCGGGACCAAACGTTTCCAACCGCGCCGCGCGTTGGTGTTCAAAGCGACGCGTGGGCATTGGGTTTTACGGGGCCTATACACTCTGTCTCATTTGAAGTGAACCCGCCTTGGGTTCTGCGCATCCTCCTCACCTGGACCCTGCGCCGCGTCCGCGCACGTGTTCTCTGACCATCTTCCCATGCCTAATTAGCAATTAAAACTCTTTGGGAAAAGGATCAGACAACCGTTCGCGCGCGCACCGCCCAGGAAAGGCGGCCACGCACACCCGAGCCGCTCGAGATGAGCTCACTCCAAATGGGACATGGGGTAATTCGACGTTTTCCCAACTAATGTCATTTGCAGATGATGCTGCGTATGCCGCTTCTCCTTTTCGTACTGCTACATTGGTCATCAGCTCTTCTTGTCACATCTCCTTTACTCACGTCGTTAAATGTCACATACGAGCCAAATAGAAATTTTGATTTGCGCACGCCGCCAAATGATTTAGCGGTAAAGACAAAATTTATTTATTTATGATCGACTATGGTTTTTCTTTGTAATTAGTGCAGTGCTATGAAAATATTCAACGACATTCAAAAACAACTTTTTATATTTGAGAATATTTGATTATTCAGAGATCAATCCAGCACTTGACCAAGGCACGGGATTGTAAAACAGAGTTTCCCCTCTTTTGAAACCTTATTTCGAACTAGAGATTATAAAACGTTTTCGGTTGCCTGGGAGATCTTCCCTCTACCCCTCTCGCTAATTGCATTTACCTATGTTTAATAGCATAATAACAGATGACATGAAAAAAATAAAAATACGAAGCTATCGTTGGTAGAAACGTTCTATCTCACTAAGCTCGAGTTGTTAGAAATAGGCGGAAAAGAGCACTTATGCCATACTATTAGAAGAAAGTGAAGAACTTAGTTTCTGAATATGCCGTCCTTAGCGTCTCGAAATACAGGGTATCACAAAAAATGTGAACACTGTTTGATCGTTAATAGCCCCCTCGATTTCATGTGTTTCGCCAAGTTTGAGGCATCACATTGTAAAGCGAGGTTCAACTTAGACTTTCAGTATTGAGCGAACCACCAATCGCTCTTTGTTATTGTAGGATTACAGTAAGAACCTCCAGCATGTGGAACCATTGTGAAATATGCCATCTGACAAAATTTTTTTCAAAAAATCTGAGGAATTATGTGCTAGGGCTTTGGCGCACGCTGACTCTACTACACAACTTTTTACGATGTTCCCAGCTTTTTTGACGGTGTAATCACTTTTCTGACAAATGCTGGGAATTCAGTTATTATGGCTTACCTGGAATAAGTTTGGAAAAAACAGCACTACATTGAAGTGGAGATTTCATATACGAAATCAGCTGCTTCCAACATCAAAATATAAAAGTTTTGGCTTGTTTGGTTTTGTTCCAAGGCACAGCAGGTTTAGAAAAAAGCACCCTTTTTAGTAGATCAGTAAAAAGCGCAGAATTCGGTTGCTTTCTAATGCTTTAATAAGTTACGAGTGCACGAAAATTTTGGAGCTACCTCTGGCAAAGTTATTCAGTGTCGGCTTAAATTGTCCCTCATCTCATAAAAAATTTTCGTGGATTATTCTTCATGTACTTTCTATCCATTTTCGTGATTTTGTGAGGGGTCAAATACAAGTAAACCAAAAAATCCATGCTCAAAGCGCTTGATTCCTTTTAAAGAACTTTTTCCAGCTTGCAAATATGATCTCTTTTATACTCGTTACTGTGTTATTTATAAGTTCATTTTGTTCCTATGTATCAGTACTTGCTCATATTTTACGCAACAAATCTACGGTTGTAAGGTACTTGTTTTAGATAGAGTTATCCAGCAGCTGACAGCTCATCTAGCTAATTACAGAGCAAGGAGACAAGAGATTCGACTGAGTATACAGATTACCGGCTTGATGGTTGCCTTCTTATTTGTTCTTGTTTACAACCTTGGTCAGTATATACTAAATGATTCTCAGCAGGTAAAAAACATATTTATTAGATCTACCCAACAAGAAGATATTCTTTTCATAGAAGTGGCCAAATATATGAGTGACGCAGCGCAAAGTGATAACAAATCATTCTTTTTTTGATGATTTCCAGTGAATCATTCTTTTTTTGAAGGCGTTAGTTTTGAGCGCAGCTGTACTAAAATCAAAAATACAACCTTCTTAAATCTATGAACTAGCGGAAATTTGATGTCACATGTACCTATACTTCGTGATTATAATATGCTCGAAACTAGCTCGTTCGTAAGCACGAAAACTGTAGAGCTTTTTATAAGCGCTGTAAATTCTCCTGAAATGCCTCATCTTTGTAAAAAGGCGTGTGCATTGCATGACCAAAATGTAAATGATGTATTTAAGGCATATAAATTGCTTAAAATAAAGTGGATTGGAATGATGCAATGCATCGCCACAAATAGGATTCAACCAATTGTGAAGAATTAAATTACTCACCTCGATTTCATTTGATGATTGCTCTTTTTTGGAAAGGATTTTTTGGAAATTGAAGGGAAAAAGATGGCGGCCTCCTTAACACAAATTTTCAACATTTCCATTAGATAAATCACTTCAATGGATCGACTGACATAAGCAAGACTAGATTTTCTTCGTCAAAAACTTTCGTTCAGGGTAAACTAGCATTTTTCAGCAACAATTTTGATAAATATAACTTCCAATTTTTTTCCGATTATGCTCTAAGATATTCTATGAGAGCCGAACTAGTTCTGCTTGCCAGTCGCTTCCAATACTTCCTGCTTTCTTTGGAAGTCCAAATGTTTGAAAACAGAGAAAGTGCGCAGGGCTTTGACTGCGAAAACAGAAGTCTTTGGTGGAGCTATTTTTTGTCTTTGCAAAAGAGAGTCAAAACTGAGTTGCTTCACAACGAAATTGACAATAATAAATTTGTTAGGATTGATGAAAATGCATGGTTTGAAAGAAGTTGACAGTTTTCTCACGTTTCATAATTTTGAGTTTGCGTTCATTTGCTCTGCATTCGAAAGTCACAATATCAGTTGCAAATAGAAGGGGGGGGGGGAGGAGATAATTCCTTCACCAGCTCATCAGGCAATGCGCCAAGATTGAGATGTCTGATCCCATACAGATTCAGTTGTTTACGTTACTACTATTGTACTGAAAAACTCAAATTTGATACCAGTTACATCCAAGCAATGGCATTTGTGTGAGCACTAATATCATTATTTTCCGCGGAATCTCTTGAGTCTAAAAAAAGAGAAAGATGGGAGAAGAAGAGGGAGCATAGAAATGAAGCATTTTTCTTGGACCAGCTCCTTAGGCCTAAGGCATACCTCAAGCGATTTGACCAAATCGCGATGTCTACGCGACTTGGCATTCTGCCACTTCACAAATCCGTCGCGGTCGGTTTTCAATGCATAGGCGCGTAGCTTTTGTAAGTTTTTGCAAACGGATCAGGTCTGTTCAAACAGAGGGCGGTAACGACCAATTACGAACAGTCGCTGATGTGCCGAAGCGCGCAGCGATCGAAATCGCGTGAGGTATGCCTTAGGCCTTATACATCCGATAGCTCTAAAGCTAATAGTGTCCTTGCGGTGCTGAGATTGGGCGGTTAATTTCGCGCAATTTGAACAAATAGGTACGCCTGCCCCTATGCACGCGCAAATTACCGGCATTTCACAGGAGATACTTGATTACCCGCACATTTTACCGCCCAATCTTGGCACCGCAAAAGCACTACATTCAGGGTTCAACAGGCCCATCCAGATCAAAATCGGCCGTCAAATCACGTGTGATTGTAAAGTGTAGTCACACAAAGTGTGACTACACTTTACAATCACACGTGATTGTAAAGTGTAGTCACAAAGTCATCATTGTCACCTCCCCGCGGTGCCGGCTGGCAACGGGGGCCAACCCCGGCAAACGACGAGGGCACTGTCCCGCCAGGCGGAGCGACGCGCCGGGGACTGTACGAATCAGTCGTGTCACATGCATCGGACTATTAAGGAATTTTGTCAAGCTGCTAGGGCGTCCCCCGGAGGCGACGCGCGTCATTGCCCGCATGGCGCGAATAGTGAGCTAGGGCTACCTGCCCCCGAACGAGGCAGGCCAAAGAAGCGAGTCCAGGAAATCCGACTAGCGACGATCAATATAGGAACGCTGACGAGCCGCAGTCGGGAGCTATGCGATAGGCTGAAGGAACGACACGTCGACATCGCATGTGTACAGGAAACGAAATGGAAAGGGAGGCAGGCAAAGGACATCGGCGACGGATATCGCTTGTACTACACGGGAGATAGCAGCCGCCAGAACGGAGTCGCGATCATCGTCAACGGTAGATACCGCGAATTAGTGACCGAAGTGACGCGCATCTCAGATAGATTGATGGCGATGAAGATCGAAGCAGATGATGCCACGCTCCGAATAGTCTCGTGTTTATGCCCCGCAAGCCGCATGTACCGAAGCCGAGAAGGACGTGTTTTGGAGGGACTTCGACATCCTGCTAAGGACATTCAACGCTGCAGACTACATCTTCGTGGGAGGCGATCTCAATGGGCACGTTGGCCACGAACACTATGGATTCAAGCGATACCATGGTGGAAACGGATACGGTCAGAGGAATGAAGACGGAGAACGCATCCTGGAAGCAGCAGAAGCACACGACTTGGCGATAGCGAATACATTTTTCAAGAAGCGAGAGTCACATTTGATCACGTACGCGAGTGGAGAGCGCTCAACTCAAATCGACTACTGCGCCGAAGCCACTTGCCAATGGTGATGAACGCGAAGGTTATACCCACGGCGACACATGCATTCGCGCCACAACACCGGTTGCTTGTATTGGATCTTCGACTGAACATCCACTTGCGGTCACGAGCCAGAAGGACGACTACAAAGAGGATCAAATGGTGGAAGCTCCCCGAACATCGCCAGCAAGTCAGAGATGCTCTTATCGATTTGAGGGTGTCGACGGATGATAAGGAGTCGATTGAAGAGCAATGGAATCGGATTACTTCGCAGATACGATCGAGGGCCGAGACAATTTTGGGAACCACCAAGCCAGGACGTCGGTTTGTAGACAAGCAGATCTGGTGGTGGTCTGAGTCAGTCCAGCAAGTGATCAAGGAGAAGAAAGAAGCTTTCAAAGCCTGGCAACGCTCACACTCAAATGAAGACCTCCGTCGGTATCGAGAACAGAACTCGAAGGCGAAGCACGCGGTAGCCGAAGCAAAGGAAGCTCACTACAAGAGACTTTACGACGAGCTGGAAGGCCTGCTGGAGCGAACAAGGTCTACCGACTGGCCGCTGCACGACATCGAGCGAAGCAGGACATCGACCACGTCATGCACATTAAGGACGCAGAGGGCAACCTCCTGACGAAGCCGAGGGCAATACTCAAGCGGTGGAGTGAATACTACAAAGGGCTATTTAATGAGGAGTTCCCGCACCCGTTAATACCGCAAGGAGCCCCCACATATGGACCGGTATCTCGGATCGAAGAGGCAGAAGTTGTGCAGGCACTGAGGAAGATGTCTAGCGGAAAAGCTCCGGGACCCGACGACATACCTGCTGAAGTGTGGAAGATGATGGGGCAGCGTGGAGCGGCATATCTCACATCGCTCTTTAACCGCATTATCGTAGACGGACAGTTGCCGCGAATCTGGACTACGAGTGTCACAGTCCCTATCTGGAAGGAAAAGGGCGACGTCAGCGACTGTTCAACATATCGACCAATACGCTTGCTATGCCACACGATGAAGATCTTCGAACGAGTCATCGACGCACGCATTCGAAGTATAGTGGAGGTCACCCCGAATCAATGCGGTTTTGTAAAAGGATCTGGCACCATCAACGCCATCCACGCGGTACGATTGCTAATGGAAAGGCATTTGGAGAAACGGATTCCGATTCATTTCGCATTCCTGGATTTAGAAAAGGCATTTGATCGGATACCACACGGGCTGATCTGGTATGCGCTGAGACAACACGACGTCCCAGAAGAGTACGTTCGCTGGATCAAACTCCTCTATACGAACACGACGGGCGCCATACGCTGTGCAGTGGGAACGTCAACGCCATTCCCAATCCAAGTCGGAGTACACCAAGGATCGGCTCTATCACCGCTTCTCTTTATACTGTGCATGGACACGGTGACCAAGGACATCCAGCTGCCGCATCCGTGGACGCTCCTTTACGCAGACGACGTCGAGCTAGCAAGCGGATCGAGACAAGAGCTTGAAGAGGCGACTGTGAGATGGAAGACACGATTAGCGGAGTATGGCCTACGACTGAATGTAGCAAAGACCGAGTACCTGGAATGCGGAGAGCAAACCGATGGCACAATTAGCATCGATGGGCAGCCGCTGAAGAAGGTCACGATATTCAAATACCTGGGCTCCCGAGTGACGTCAGATTGCGACACGATCACTGATGCTCGTGCTAGGACGAACGCGGCATGGTTAAAATGGCGGCAAGTAACAGGAGTACTCTGCGACCGACGAATCCCGTTGTATCTCAAGTCGAAAGTGTATCGGACTGTGGTGAGGCCAGTCGCACTGTATGGAGCCGAATGTTGGCCAGCAACCAGAAAACACGAGCAGATCCTGAGCACGATGGAGACGCGAATGATAAGATGGATACTGGGCCTAACGAGAAGAAACTGCGTCACGAACGATGATGTACGACACATTTTCGGAGTTGCACCTATCGCGGATAAGATGCGAGGTGCCAGATTAAGATGGTATGGTCACGTTTTACGAAGTGAAGATAATACAGTAGCAAAAACAGCACTTCGTCTAGATCCACAGGGGAAGAGACCACGTGGCCGTCCGAAGCAACGCTGGTTGGACACCATTCGAAACGACCTGCACATTGCAAAGCTCAAACCACAAGAAGCAGCTGATCGAGTCAAATGGAAGCAAAAATGCACCACCGCCGACCCTGCACCCGCGGGACAATGGCGAAGATAAAGAAGAAGAAGAAGAAGAAGTCACAAAGTGTGACTACACTTTACAATGTAGTCTTTTTGTAGTCTGAGGTACAGACTTCAAAAATTCAAAAATCATTAGAAAAGGATCATGTCCTCCACAATGTCGCACTCTAAGTTTCGGAGATGAAGAGGAGGAAGAGAAGGGGGGGGGGGGGTTGTTTTCGAGAGACTTGTGCCTTGACCTCTTGCTCATCCCTGACTATATTTATCGTCAGATCTACTATATGTACTGTACGTAAAAGTAGTCCGCGGTGCTCATTGAAAAATTCGTCACCCACAAAAAATGTCTTCCTTGTAAATGAACATTTCAGACCATTATGCTGTACTCATGGAGGAAAGTGCATCCCATAATGAACACTTTTCTGTCTGCAGTTCAAGCATGGATGTGTTTATTCTTCAACAATGACGTGCAATACAAACTAACCAAATTGCTAGGATGCGGACGACTTAAGGCGGTAGATTTACTTGAAGCAAACTTTCTAGGAGATCTGGTACAGTCGAGTAGATTTCCTGCTTAATATAGTGTCCCTGCAGACGCGACAACGCTGGGGCGTCAATAAATGCCTTGCGAGTTCCAGCTAGTGTTTTCCAGTGTTTTCTTTGCTTATTTCATGCTTTTTAGGTGATTCGTTGCTGATAAAGAAGAAAAGGGTAAGTTAGAGAGTAGTTTCTGTGTTCTGAGAAGTTTTATTATCGCATATTCACAGATATCCACTGGAAGCAGTTCGCGTCAGCTTCTTGTCTATTTTTTGTCACTTCATGTCTCTTTCTTCTTTTGAGGTACTTCTTTGGACGCTAGTGGATTTTACGATTGACTTATTGTCCTTATCACATGAACTACTTGATTAAAATGCTATTTCTTATGGATGAAAGCCGAAGTTGCTGCAAGACAAGCCAACTAGCATTCAAAGAAACGTCTCACAAGAAGGAGGAGATTCAAAAGAAGAAGTGACAGAAGAAAAGGAAATGACAAAAAAGAAATAGACAAGAAGCTGACGCGAAAAGCCTCCACGTGGATACCTGTGAATATGCGATAATAGAACTTCTCAGAAAACAGAAACTACTCTTTAGCTTACCCTTTTCCTCTTTATCAGCAACGAATCAACTAAAAAGCATGAAATAAGCAAAGAAAACACTAGAAAACACTAGCTCGGAAATCGCAAGGCATTTATTGACGCCCCAGCGTTGTCGCGTCTGCAGGGACACTATATTAAGCAGGAAATCTACTCGACTGTATCTGTTTTTTTTTGCAGAGAAACAGCGTGGTATGCAAATCGTCCGTCTCTGCTCTTTCATATCCAAGAAGCTGAGTTCCTTATCTGAAACGTATAACATATAGAAAGAAGAGTTGTATAGAGACTTGCTTATAGCAGAATCCAATCATCAGTGTTTGTAGTTGATTAGCTTCTACGCAGCTTTATCAAAAACATATTTTGCAATAAAGATTTTCGACTTACTTCTATGTCTTTCGTATTAACCTTTGATTCAACTGGCTTACCGGTCGGAAGGCGGGGCTTTGTGACCTAATTAAGGGCGCTCGTGCCGCGACGAAATCTGCGCCTCTCCCGCGCGCTTGCTCTCTGGTCATCACCTAGCCTTAAGTAGGTCACAAAGCCCCGCCTCCCAGCCGCGCAAAGACGTGAGGTTTCCCAGTTTTCCTATTATGCGCAAATGTGAGAAGATTTCGTTCTATTATGCAAGAATTTTGAAATGGCAATGCAATTTCCATTGTTATTCGCTAAGCAGGGGAACTTGTACGTATGCAAATACCAAATTACTCACCTATACATCACAACATGAAAAGGAAGCCCAAGAAAGTCAAAAAAGTAAGCTCTTGGAAATTTAGTCATGTTGGGGCATAACTGTTCTCCATTGTTAGCAAAAAGTCTGAGTAGTAATATGTGATTGTAGAAGCTTGATGCTATTCGCAAGAATTCATGGATAAAAAATAATAAGAAAAGGTTTCATGATCTGCATCCAAAACGAGATCGTCAAATTAGCCAATCTGATGCTAGAAATTTTGAAGTTCTTCAAGATTCAAGTCGTTCTTTCTTTTTAATGGCGCACCTTGAGTGAATATAATAAATAAATAAATAAATAAATAAATAAATACTTCGTACAGTAGAATCTGGCTCTTATCGGTGTAAGCCTTCTTGGAACGTTTTTGCTGTGTAATCCTGCTATATTGGAGAGAGATTTGTGATCCGTCCTATATTACAAATCTAAGAAGGGAAGGGCGTTTGCGAATGCTGAGATGTATATCACTAGACAAGCCTTTAGACCCTCTTTCTAAATCTGCTTTTCTTTGCGGAATAACTTCAAAACAAGTTATGAGCGTTTGAATGTCCAAATTTGTCTAGGGCTTAAAATTAAGTAGCTAAGTAGCGAAAAGCTTTAAGAACACACCTATGTGAATATTCACCTGCTTTGTTTCTTTCCGAAAATTGATATTACCCATTTCCAGGCATTTTTACACAGCTTTTTGCTAACTTAAGGTCATAAAGGTTGACTTTAAGGTCATAAAGGTTGACAAGTTTAGACTTTCAGACACTTAACTTTTCTTCGGAAAGTTGTTCGCAAAATAGATTCGGAATCAGCGTTTAGAGATGCGTTCAGTGATATACATTTCGTCTACAATCGCTAACTTATTTCAGTACCCTTCCTTTATAAGTTAGAACTAAGCTTCAGTACAATGTTTCAAGAGGAGTGTTAACATCAGACAATATACATACTGTTATAAAACCTGTATATGCACTACACTTTTTTATGTGTTAACGACAAGAACTTGTGCAGAAAAAGCGAATTTTCAAACTCTCCTTGACATTTCCAATCATGTGAAAACAAGTCCAACAAATTTCAACAGGAGTTGATGTTGTACAGTTGGAAAACGAAATGTGAGTATTTCTCATTTTCAAAATGGCTGTGGCAGATCTTCTGGTCCGGTTTCTGCAATTAGGTGATTCTCTTATCTGCGACGGTCCAAGCTTGGAGCAAGAACTTTGAGTTGTCTTTCAAGTCAGACAAAAGTGCCAGATAAGCGGCAACAAGTACCGGGCAAGCTGATTCCACTTTTGGCCTTACGGTGGACCGAGCGCCCGGTCATTATGGTTGCTCATTGGGAAGATCCAAACTTTGTGCGTCCCGGGGCGGTATTATCCAGGTGACATCCGCGCAGGCGCGCGCACCTACGCCCTCGATGCACGAAGCCAAGCTGGTGATCGGGCTCCTGTCTATTGAAGAATATGGTCCGATCTGGCAAGTTTGGCTATGTCAGGTACGGCAGTCGGGCACGGCAGTCGGGCACGGCAGTCGGGCACGGCAGTCGGGCAGCGGAGCCCGACCTGTCGAGGCATCTATTCGCTTGAAACACAACTCTAAGTTTGTCGCTGCTAGTAAATTATTGAAATGCAAAATTGTTCAAACCCTATATCAATCATAGTGTTTCAGACTACTTTGCACTGACGCCATACAGAGAGTAAGTTGTTTTGCTACACTCTTCATATCAGGACTACGCGCAAGGAGTTGCACGGGTCTACGGACCTCACTGGAGCATTTTCTTTTAACCGTCTCAATCTTCAGAGTGCTCCGCAAATAATCTCAACCTTATTGCTGCTCTTTCCCTGCACAATGCTAGGCCTAAAAGAGCAAAATTATGATCAGCTTCCAAATTGTGTAGTGTATTGCAGACTTTGCCTAATGGCAAGGATGAACTTGTTAAGTCTCCACGCTATGGCGTTGTTTTTCGTACTCTCTCGCCAGCAAGAACCTATGAGTTTTCAAGATTCCACCTCCACACGAATCTGGAAGCCGATGATACTTTTGAGAGTTCTGCTGCGAAATCTGGTTCTGTTGTGGTGGAAGTTTTTTTTAGAAAACACAACAAAAGTACCTTTGCTATCAAATTTCCAAAAGTCTAACTCCGCTTTGATACGTCTAGAAGATCAAGCATGCCTTTATGGTCCTAAAACCGCTACGGAACGTGCAATTTTTTGATTGTCACGTTTTCCGCTAAGCTTGAAACGACATTCACGGGAATTTTGTACGTTGTGTGAGCGGTATCGTTATATTGCAAAAATCTAACAGGGGAAGGATACTCGATCGCAGTGACGATTGGGTAAGCCATGTATACCGCGTATACCGTACTCGGACGGTGATCTCTAAACCGCCTCCATATCTGCTATGGCGTCATCCTGGAAGAGCTGTGAAAGATTTTGCAAAAACGCAAAATCCATCGGCGTTCGAAGGGAATCGAACCCACGACACAGCTCAGCACTCCAAGCCACTATCCACTGCACCAGTCGACCACGGCAGTGTGATGCACGTCATGTCAAAAATCCTTTATAGATCTTCCAGAATGTAGATAGCAGGCAGTGCGGTTTAGAGATCACCGTCTGGGGCGGTATATGCGGTATGCACCGCTTACCCAATTGTCACTGCGATGGAGTATGGAGGTTTTCAAACATGATCCCAAACGAAAGCGATAAGTCTTTTCTTAGAAAGCAACTAAGCATCGCATTCATGATGGGTGTTTAAATTTTTGCATTTGCAAAGGTGCTGTAAAATGTGATGTTCTCAACCAACAGCGATCGCAAAGGTGTGCTTGTCACAGAATTTTATGCACCCATTGCAAGCAAAGATAAATATATCTAGGTCACGTAAAGGCTGCTACATGACGAAGGCGCAGAAGTAGTATCAGTTGAGCGAACGCGAACGCGGCGCACGCGTATCTTCACCGCCGTAAATTCCGCGTCTTATGCGCTCTGCGGCTAATAAAGCCGCGATCGCGCCCAAAGGTATTGCACCTTCGTCATGCAGCAGCCTTTACGTAAACAACAATAGCTTGGCAAATATCGCTTGTTCCTCAGTCATACTCGACATTTTCTAGATTGAAACCTCAAAATTTTGATATGTTCAGTCAAATCAAAATAGCGAGAACTGCTCGGTCTTTTACTCATCAAATCTAATCAACATTTTTTTTATCCCCGAGATGTTTAAACCTAATGCAAGTAGAAAAAAGGGTTTGTTCAAACTCAATGCAAGGTGTTGAAAAAGGTTTAAGTGCTTTATGGTGCAAGTTGATATCTTAGCGGTAGGGCGATCGAGCGCACTCTCGTGTATTAAGTCTTATTTTATGCACCCATTTGAAAGACTGACCCATATAGCTGGTCGCGAAAAACCTTTAGGCACTTTTTGCGCAGCAAGTTTAATCTACGGAATAAGTTACATTACTTGGATTCACTCGGAATTACTACAGCTCAAGCGCAGTCACGGCAAATAAGTTATTTGTTGCGATGGTGCCATATGCAGATATGGGTAGACTACAGTAGAAAGACAGTTTGCATAAATAAATCAACTTTCTGCAAAAATCGCCTTCACTTATGTTTGTTATCATACGGTAGAATACAGTAGTTAAAGAAAGAAGGTCCTTTTTTTGAATTTGCAGTCTCGTTTTCTTTGATTCTGAGGGTGAGGATTGAACCACATAAAACGATTTGGGACAGTAGTTCAAACTTCAAAATCTGTTGCTAAGGACTCAACTTTTGGTGTCCATTTTTGATACTAAGCGGCTATGAAGAATAAACATTAAACGCATTTGCATTGCAAAACCTCAGCGTTTTGTGGTAGTTACCAAAATTTGATATATAATATCGTTCCCTTTTCAGTTTTGTCTATGCGCAGATATCCGAACGCTGATCTTAGCTGCATCAGCCACATTGATTGCCTTTGGGATCCCCTGAAATATTGGTCTTAGTCTATAATTTTGTTGAACATCCATTGAAAGGTAGCTTCTGCCCTTGGCATGCTCGAGATTGCTCGCAGAAGTCATTCACCCTAATTTTACAATTACAAGACCTGTTTTTTTTCTAAAATCGAACAGCTTCAACAGACCAAAAAATGTCGCGACCCAAAGGACCCTCCACCTTGCTGCTCCTTACCCAAGAGAATTGTACGGGAAAGGGACCATTGCGCGAGGCACAGCTGTGCGGCCAAGTTGCTTGTTTGACAAACTGAAAAAGCTGCGTCTGGATTTGATAGGGTATATACTTCCCTCCTCTCACCATTTTCTAGCCCTCTATGAGGAATGTTTTTTGAGCCGAGGTGGTTTGTTATTCTGCAGAAATTCAAATGGTCCTATTCTTTTGCCATTATCGGTTGTGCGCCTCTATAAGGCAAGTTATGAGCGCTTTTAGGGCGAAAAATAAGCTTGATTTAGAAAAAAATTAGTCGTCCTCCCCCCCCCCGGCGATCAGATAGCGAAGCGAGTTGTGTATCCTAGGCAGAACGCCATTGTATAAATTCATTTATGAACGATACCCTGCCTGAGGGGTTTCAAATAATTTAAAACCTCTCAGACAGGTTGCTTCAACAAAAATGTAGTGATAGATGATTAATAGTCTTTGCATCTGCGTGTATGAGTATTTATATAGTTAATCCAAAAAAAATGTAGATGCTACGAATGAATCTACGTCGGTAGCGTATGGTGCTGACCTTAGCATCTATCAGATAAGCAACTAATTGCAAATATCAGTGGCGATAGGATACGTGAACGGATTAGGCATAGCTACACTAATTTATGGTCAAGCAACATTGTAAACAAAACTTTCAGATACATACCAGCAAACACGCTTGTAACTATATGTAGCGACAAAGGTTGCAAGATCACCTACAGAGCAACTCAAGAGAACTACAGAATTCGGATTTTTGACTTCAATGAGACTACGTTCAACATCAGAGTAACACCTGCCAGTTGTGATTTGGCGAAACCCCACAAGTGAGTTAAGTTGTGCCATGATCATGGCCACCAAATCTAATGTCACAATTAGAGATTCATAAGATGTCACAAGCGCCTTTGCTACTGACAAAGTTAAGAACTTTTTAGGATAGCGCTCTCCTTTTTCGATACATGGATACCAGGTGATATACTGAAGATGGAGCACATCGAGAACAACGCATTCGTCATCAAGAGAGAAGGTAAATCTCATGCAATTGTCTAGTCTATAAAGAAAAGTACCTTGCATGAATGAGACGCTAACTGTTTAAGGGACTTTCTTTTTCAGGAGTGCATATAGAGTCACGTTTTTACGGAATACGTGCTAAGTCTAAGAAGCCTTGTGTTAATTTTAGGTTCGGTGAAAATGCGGTCATTTTCTTAGTTAATCTCACGGTGAGTATTTATGAGAATAATTTTGCGCACAAAACAACAGTCATCTAATATGTTTAACGGTCTATGTAGTGAGGTTTAATATACTAAGTTGTTCTAAAAGTTTATGCTGCTCATCCATCGCTGCTATCCGTCATGAAAAGAGGAACAAACATAAGTGAAGGTTTCAAAAATCCGGCAGCTGAGTCCCCAAACTGCTTTTTGTAACTAAAATAGTCATCGATTTGAACTCATAGAGCATAACATGTTCAAGTTTGCCAATTTAATTTCACTCTAGTTTATTTGGAAGGACGTTGATATCACTTGAGTAGGATAAACAAAGTGCAGTGAATCTTAAGTATGTTTAGCTGGCTTTTCGAAAATTTTTGAATTATTTTTCGTCATCACCAAATTTCATATTAGGCCATCCCAAAAGTCATTTCGCTTTTTCAAATGAACCACATATTTTGTAGAAAAAAATATTTCTGAGAGGCTTGATAGCATTTGATGCAGCACTTCATCTCCTTCGCAATGTTTGTAAATTCAATGCGGCACGGTCAATGAGATCTTGGAAAATTACAAGAGAAGCTCATTTGCAATTTTTTCAAATCTTTATGCCAAAGATATATAGAGCAAACCTCACAGATGCATAGTCATTAGTTTTTCCCTCATAGATCTCGTCATGTTTTTTGACGAGGTTTTCATCAAAATCACTGATTTTGGCAGGTTTCTGATTTTGGCAAACACAGACGCAAAAAAATCTTCGGAATAAACTTGCAAGAAAAAATTGTGAATGTAATGCTAATTTTACAAAGCAAATGAGCGTTCATAGATTCGAGATAACAAATTTCGAATTTGGGTGCAGTACGAAGATCGCGAAAATATTAATCCTGATGATTTTATTCTTAAAGACTGCATGTTAAATAAAAAACACCATTAGAAAGGGGAAAAAACGTTGCATCGAATGTCATTCGAATTTGCTCGCCGGTTCGTGTTCTAAGAGGTTTGCATTGTCCAAGTTTGGACATTGGTGGCTTCAAATAAAATCACATTGAAAAATTATGGCGAGCTATGCAAAGGAGGAAAAGATGTGCTATTTCCCGTTGGTTTGCTCTAACCATCCGTCACTTAGAATCCTTTGGAGGGGTGATATAAGAAATTAGAAAAATTGTGAAACTTGTCCATCTAAAAAGCATCGGTCGCAGGCTTTGGAGATATTCCGAGAGCTCCTTGATTATACTGCAATGGGATAATGACTAATAAAAAGAGGATAAATGCTGCGTCGAATGTTACCAAGGTTGGAGAAGATGTTCCACAAAATGTGGCGTCCGTTTAACAAAAAAAAAGAAAAATTACTTGACCTAATATTTGGTCAAGCCAATCCTCACAAAACATCAACTCAACGGTGCCATTCTATACAGCTTTTCTTCTTTTGTGAACAACATTTCCTCCTTCCCGATTCATGCTGGAATTACCGTGATTGTTAGTTTTAGACGCGCCTGGCTGAAATTTCGTATGTCATTCGCAAAATTAGTGATAAATGATCAATAATTTTACAAATGACATACGAAATTAGTGATAAATGATTATCAATTTTTGAAATTTCCAAATTCCGAATAATTTTGATGTTTTGCGCTCGTGTATGACACGACTTCACAAAGGGAAGACAAAATTACCCTAAACTAAGAGGCGTTTTTTATAAAGACTATTGGAGATTGATAAAGAAAGACCATAGTAATGCAGTTTGATTGCTCTATCCACCTGATATTGAGCTCTATCAAAAAAGGGGCCGTCCTTATCGTTCGACCTTCATGAAAATACGCAGAATGGAGTCAAGCAAACGGTTTGCATATTATTCGAAGCAGCTTTACTTTCTCTTTCTAAACACTCATATTAATGGAATGTTAGTGGTCACCCTTGTGGTCACTAATTGCTGAAATGGTTGGTTTTTTCTTGTTTTTTATCCAAATTCAATGCTTCAAATTCGCTTTAAGGCGTACTTCATGCGATTTTATCGTCCCGTTGATCTCCCAACAGGACAACTGTTATGAGCTTATCATGCCGCTCATCTTGTAAGGCGGTTGTGATAGTTATTCACAACCAATCACTTCGGAAAGCTCTCAAAATCGATGCAAAATGATCGGCATGTAATGGAGTAGTAACAACTGTCTCGTCGGAAGAGTTCCGAGGCGATGCAATCACGTGAAGCAATAGCCCTAGCGAAATTAAACGTTGAATTTGGACATGATGGCAACCAAGAAGAAACCAACTTTCACTAATCAATGAACACAAGGGTTACCATTTTAGTAACATGAGTGTTGAAAATTTGCTTGACTCCATTCTGCGTATTTTTATGAAGGTGGAAAAAAAAGACGGGATCTTTTGGAACGACCTATTTCGCAGGTTTAACACAAAGTTGTTTTTGATCTTTTTTTGCATTTTTTCTGACTGATTTTTTGTGGCACGCAGTCTCAACAAAATTGTGGATATCTCCCGCACACAATACGTGTGATCTCCTGGGAATCCCCAGAGGATTACAGAAGATGATAGAAATCTCAGCTTACATGGTAATGTCTGTTATGCTCAGGTGTCAGGATATGAGAAACTTTCTAAGGGCCGCATGCTTTGATATCCTCGCCGGGGAGGGTCGCAGCTTAAAAGAAAGCTTTATATTGAAAATCCAGATATTTAGACACCTGTCTGCAATTCGCAGGATTCCTACTATCCGTCACTGTAAACTTGTTGAGCAGGAGGGAGAAGTTGTACAGTCGCATTTCCATTCCCGGCGGCCAATCGACTTTTCTTCAAAGATATTTTTCTTATCTTTAAATTTGATGAAAACGTGCTAAACGTGTACTAAATATCTAACCTAGAAGTGCTAAGCATGTTTCTGATCAGAACAAATGATGTACTGAAGTCTGAAATGTGCAGTGAACTACAAGTTGAAAGATGGGTTTTATCAAAAATCTCGATATCCCAATGATTTATTTGTTTTCATCAGCAACATGTTTAGCAATGTTGGGTTAGATAAGCAGTACAACTTTGGATTGTTTTGTCAAACTTTGGATTGTTTTGTCAACTTTGGATTGTTTTGTTTTGAAGAAAGAAAAATGTCTTAAGAATAGACGGTGGCCGCCGGGGATCATTAGGGAATCATAAAAAAGCTTGAAAATGCGGCTTAGGCCGTGGGCATACCTCATGCTATTTTAGTCGCCACGCGCTCTGGCAATTTGCCAGATGTCTTCAAATAATGCTGAGAGACCCCAAATACATAGCATTATGACTTTCGTGGGTTGATAGAATGCCCTATTTTCCGTACATTCAGAAACCCCTTTCGAGGAGTTATAGACGGAGTATTGCTAAATTGTGTCGCGAAAAATCGGGTGAGATATGCCCGGGCTTTGTACATCTTCCGTGTTTGCTGCGTTTATATTTATTTATTTATTTATTTGATACGCCCGAAGGCGTGCTTCATACAACCCGACACATCTCAAAACAACCGGAGAGAGCTAGACAAAACACACAAAAAAAGAAACAAAATAACACATCGTTGTACCGTAGTAATGAAGGTCATCCGCATCTAACGCGATTTACTTTGCACTCAGTGGAAGGACTCACAGCAAAGGCAAGAAAAAATTAAAAATAAAGAACAAAACAATGATCACCCTTCTCCCGCCCTCTCAAGACAACCACATGAAGCCGTGGGGAAGGACCAGAAGCCCGGCGCCCGGCTATACTGGCAGCCGCCGCCAGACTAGCCGAAACGGGTGCACTGCTCAGATAATCGCCGGGGGCAAGCGGCCATGCGAATTTTGAGCAAGCGGGCACCGGAAAAATAGTTCGCTGATTTTTTGTGGTCCGCTTGCAGAAATTTGGAATAATTTTGGCCAATTTTTAGACGAACGCTCGAAGATCTATCGCGGTTTTCTATACATAAGCTGCGGCACAGTGGCCGCATTCTCGCGGATTTTCCGCGAGAACATGCAAAATTATTGAGAGCCGCACGGTCCTTTTTGAAGGACCGGGCAGCCCTCAGGTACTTTCCGCTGAAAGAAAGTACCCCAAACTTGGGTAATAAAACCATCGATGGCACCTCTGCCACATCTCAGATAATCGCCGGGGGCAAGCGGCCATGCGAATTTTGAGCAAGCGGGCACCGGAAAAATAGTTCGCTGATTTTTTGTGGTCCGCTTGCAGAAATTTGGAATAATTTTGGCCAATTTTTAGACGAACGCTCGAAGATCTATCGCGGTTTTCTATACATAAGCTGCGGCACAGTGGCCGCATTCTCGCGGATTTTCCGCGAGAACATGCAAAATTATTGAGAGCCGCACGGTCCTTTTTGAAGGACCGGGCAGCCCTCAGGTACTTTCCGCTGAAAGAAAGTACCCCAAACTTGGGTAATAAAACCATCGATGGCATCTCTGCCACATCTCAGATAATCGCCGGGGGCAAGCGGCCATGCGAATTTTGAGCAAGCGGGCACCGGAAAAATAGTTCGCTGATTTTTTGTGGTCCGCTTGCAGAAATTTGGAATAATTTTGGCCAATTTTTAGACGAACGCTCGAAGATCTATCGCGGTTTTCTATACATAAGCTGCGGCACAGTGGCCGCATTCTCGCGGATTTTCCGCGAGAACATGCAAAATTATTGAGAGCCGCACGGTCCTTTTTGAAGGACCGGGCAGCCCTCAGGTACTTTCCGCTGAAAGAAAGTACCCCAAACTTGGGTAATAAAACCATCGATGGCACCTCTGCCACATAGAGTCTCATCTTTTCTCGGCGTACGCCCGAAACTGCGTAAAAAGAGTCTGAGCGCCTGCTGAAAGTTGGGCCAGCGCTCGCTGAAAGAGATTGTTTGACGAGCGCTTGCAGAAAATTTTGTATTGATGCCCGCTTGCAGAAAACGCAAATACCGCCCGCTGAAGATTTGGCCACGCCCCGAAATCCTGCTGACCGCCTGCAGAAAAGCGCGAGTTTGCGGACCGCCTGCCCCCGGCGATTATCTGAGATAGAGTCTCATCTTTTCTCGGCGTACGCCCGAAACTGCGTAAAAAGAGTCTGAGCGCCTGCTGAAAGTTGGGCCAGCGCTCGCTGAAAGAGATTGTTTGACGAGCGCTTGCAGAAAATTTTGTATTGATGCCCGCTTGCAGAAAACGCAAATACCGCCCGCTGAAGATTTGGCCACGCCCCGAAATCCTGCTGACCGCCTGCAGAAAAGCGCGAGTTTGCGGACCGCCTGCCCCCGGCGATTATCTGAGTGGCAGGGGGCAGCCAGTACCACCGCTCGCCGATACTCCCGCCCTTGGTGGCCAGCCGTTGAGTAGTATTGAGATAGTAGGAGTACTTACGAACAGACAAAGCTTGAAATCCGGATATCTGAAGCCGAATATGAAATCTTGTCTCAAGCTGTAGTCCCTCCACGGTGGAGACGTTGATTCATGCGGCCCTTATAGTAAAGATAGGAACTTTATTTTGAATTCGTTTTTGATATCCTATTTCAAGCAGTGGTTTTGGACGGTACTACAGCCTTGGAAATACACAGCATCGCTAAAGAAATTACTACACCTGGACACATTCTTGCATTATCTCGGTAGAAAGACAAATGCTTCACAAAAGGTGGCCAGCGTTAAGTAGCCTCTGAATAACATACAAACATCAAAAATAGTAACTAATAGCATTTTACAGCATGTTTATGGTGGAGAAAAGAGAGATTATGGCTTATATACACTTACCTCTCCCTCGAGGTGGGGAGAGGGTTGTGGGGAAACGCACTCTTTCGATGCTTCAGTCATCAGTATCTCGTTGCCCATTTATAACAAAGACGCTATCTGCCCTAACAATCAAGCATAGTGAATGTGTGAGTATTGTATAAGTATAAGTATAAGCTGAGAAATCAAGACGTTCGTTCGATCCCCAGAATGCGCTTTTTTCAAGCGGTGAAAACACGGAGGAAAAGTGGCAAGGGGATGGTAATGTGCAAGTGAGGGAGAGGGGTGGTTTGCAGAGGGAACAACAAGGAAGGAGCAGTGAAGGATTTTGTAAGATCAAATGGGACGTCGTTAAATTTAGCCAAATTGTAGGAGGACTTCATTTCAGAAATTCCCTTTCTCCAGCTCATGCCAAGGCTGATCGCCGTCTTCTCATTGATACTTTATGCAAGTTGCAGAGCGCAGTGTATCAGAACTATGTTTCAGAAAGGCAACAGTTCCATCGAGGAAAGAGGTGGAAAAAAGGAACCATGTGTTCTCGAAACAAGAAGAGCTAGATATTTCGCTCTATTTGCGAATCAGATGGATAATTGTCCCACTTTTATATCAATGGTAAGTGAAAATTGTGAAAGGTAATAGCTTTCGTAGGGCACTTTGTGCACATATAACTTTTTCCTCAGCTACAGTTCAGCTTCATATTTACTTTACATTTGGATGTCGGAGTAGAACAGAATTTTGGCTTAGGGATCCGTCATACTTCGCCGACTCAGACAGTTGATCGGACCCCTCCGGCGGACAGTCGAAATCTGCCAGAGCCGCGGCGGACCCAGTTGACCGATGAGAGCGGGGCGAGGGAGCGGTCCCTTCTTGTGACGTCACAAAGAAGGCAGATCGGACCCCTCCGGCGGGCTTGCAAATCTCTCCGCCGCAAGTACGCCAGATTTGCTGGGGTCGCGGCGCAGAGATTTGCCCGCCGCGAGTCCGCCAGATTTGGAAGAGCCGCGGAGCAGAAAATCGGAGGGGTCCGGGACAGAAAACCGGAGGAGTCCGGAACAGAAAATCGGAGGCTTCCAACACAGAAAATGGGAGGCCTCCGGCGCACAAAATGGGAGGGGTCCGGCGCACAAAATGGGAGGGGTCCGGCGCACATATATGTACGCAGTCAATTTGCTGTGATACGCACCTTAGCATTTTCGAAAATAAGTTGCCGTCGCTCTCGTCTTACTCGTTTTTTCTCGTTCTTTCGCGCTCGTTTTTCTTTTTTTTGGTTTTTCGTGTTCCTCGTCGGCGCGCTGGCGTTTATTTGTTCATCTCCTTCTTTTCAGGTTTCAGGTTGTAGGTTTTCGTGCGGATGCACTTAGTCACTTTTAGTGTTTGGCTCTTTTCGACTTGCTGAGACATCGTTGACTGTTGATGGAGTGGTTTTTGTGATTGAGATTCGGCCTCGGTACCCTTATGTGGTGTCTCTTGAATTATTTCCGTGTTTCCGGGATTGATTGATGCTAGAATTATCCGTACACTACTTGGCTCTGTCTCAGGGAATATCTTATATAGTTAGTCTGTCGCATTCTTGCTAAATGCAGATCTGCTATGCAAGTTCATGCAACTCTTTCACACTTTTCAGTATATCGTCTACTTACAGTTTATCTGTTAGAAATTGTGACAGGCGCTCAAGAAATTTTCATTTTTTTTCGAGATTCCAAGTTCTCAGACTTTGCACAAAGTCATAATATGCAGGGAAAGTCTGTATCCATGTTTCTGATGATAGATAAGCCTTCAAATTTGCATTCCAGCGTGAGGGTCACTCTAAGAGAAAAGGTCCACAAAAATGTCCACGTACCGTCGCACCGCAAACCAAACTTTACGTAGATAGCTGCAGGTGAAAGGAGAGATATCACAGTGAAGGTGAGTGGTACATTCTACGAAGTGCTCATTTTTGAGCTTGGATTTGTAAGGTCCAAAACCTCGATCCGATCTTCATGACGGATTTTCGATGTCACTTCAAAGTAGGAAACGTTGAACGCCAAAAACCTGCTGTCGGGACATTCGACGACAATATGGGGAAAATTGCAATTGTTTTGATTTTGCATCCAATTCTGTTTGTGCTTGTGATGAGATGCAGTTCGATCACTACGGGCTTGGTGTATCGGGAGGATCAGCTCCGGTCGAGTTCAACGTTGTGTGGTCCTCGAGAGATACTTCCAGAAAACACATTCTGGATAACATTGGTGGAATGGCCGTGGAGGTTAATCAGAATTTTTTTAGTGATAGGTGTCGTAATTTGTGGTTTTTCCAAGTTTATAAGTGCGAAGCTCTTGCATCGAACTGTGGCCGATGTCTTACGCTGAATGCTGAAAAGTATGAATGTGGCTGGTGTGTTATAGACAACAGATGTGTTAGACCAATGGCATGCTTGGCAAGATGCTTGGCAAGGTACGTTTACTTACTGGTTTACTAGTCTCATTACACATGGTCACCCCACCTGATAGTACTTTCTCGCTAGTAAAAGCGACAACTCCACAGGTGAACGCAGCAGCAGTAGACCTAACCTTCGTTTTTCCACCGACGGGTCCCTTTTTAGGACTGAAGTCTTCATTAACTGGATTTGCACACATCTGCGTGCTATTCAGCCAATCTTGTGGTGATCTTGCCAAGCATGCCATTGGTCTAACACTCTGTTGTCTATAACACACCAGCCACATTCATACTTTTCAGCATTCAGCGTAAGACATCGGCCACAGTTCGATGCAAGAGCTTCGCACTTATAAACTTGGAAAAACCACAAATTACGACACCTATCACTAAAAAAATTCTGATTAACCTCCACGGCCATTCCACCAATGTTATCCAGAATGTGTTTTCTGGAAGTATCTCTCGAGGACCACACAACGTTGAACTCGACCGGAGCTGATCCTCCCGATACACCAAGCCCGTAGTGATCGAACTGCATCTCATCACATCTGGCACAAACAGAATTGGATGCAAATCAAAACAACTGCAACTTTCAGTAAATCGTTTTGCAGTCAATTTGAAATGAATGTTTCGTCTTGTCTTCATTCTTCTATTTTCTATCTACAAACGCTAGGGGTGAGAGGGAGGGGGTACAGTACGGTGGTGAGGGTCGCGCTGAAGTCCTACCCGGGGGGGGGGCGTATTCGGTTAATTTGGGTGGGGTTTAGAGACATAATTGGGGTTTGGAGCTTATTTAGGGTTAGTTACAGTATGCCGCGGCAGACTTGCGGAGTACAAAATGGGGGGGGGGGGGTGCTCCGGCGCACGAGTGGCAGACCCCCCGCTGGGGGTCGTATTCGGGGGTCGTATTTCCCCGCTGGGGAAACCCCGCGGCCCTGCCATTTCTGCGCCGGAGGGGTCCGATCGGCTGTCTGAGGAAAAGCCCAAAAGCCCAGAAAAGTCCAAAGGCGCTCAGAAAGAGCCGGAACGAACAAAAACAAAGCATTGATCTCCTTTCCAGCACTCCGGAACTTTTGGTGGAATTCTGACATTGTGCAGACGACAGAAAACGAAGCAAAAGAACTTGGTTGCGGAATCCTCAGACAGCCGATCGGACCCCTCCGGCGCAGAAATGGCAGGGTCGCGAGGTTTCCCCAGCGGGGGGTCTGACACTCGTGCGCCGGAGCCCCCCGATTTTGTGCGCCGGAGCCCCCCCCCCCTCCTCCCCCATTTTGTGCTCCGCAAGTCTGCCGCGGCATACTGTAACTAACCCTAAATAAGCAACCCCAATTCTGTCTCTAAACCCCACCCAAATTAGCCGAATACGACCCCCCCCACCCGGTAGGACTTCAGCGCGACCCTCACCCCCGTACTCTACCCCCTCCCTCTCACCCCTAGCGTTTGTAGATAGAAAATAGAAGAATGAAGACAAGACGAAACATTTATTTCAAATTGACTGCGAAACGATTTACTGAAAATTGCAGTTGTTTTGATTTGCATCCAATTCTGTTTGTGCCAGATGTGATGAGATGCAGTTCGATCACTACGGGCTTGGTTATCGGGAGAAACAGCTCCGGTCGAGTTCAACGTTGTGTGGTCCTCGAGCGATTCTTCCAGAAAACACACTCTGGATAACAATGGTGGAGTGGCCGTGGAGGTTAATCGGAATTTTTCTAGTGATAGGTGTCGTAATTTGTGGTTTTTCCCTGTGGCCGATGTCTTACGCTGAATGCTGAAAAGTATGAATGTGGCTGGTGTGTTATAGACAACAGAGTGTTAGACCAATGGCATGCTTGGCAAGATCACCACAAGATTGGCTGAATAGCACGCAGATGTGTGCAAATCCAGTTAATGAAGACTTCAGTCCTAAAAAGGGACCCGTCGGTGGAAAAACGAAGGTTAGGTCTACTGCTGCTGCGTTCACCTGTGGAGTTGTCGCTTTTACTAGCGAGAAAGTACTATCAGGTGGGGTGACCATGTGTAATGAGACTAGTAAACCAGTAAGTAAACGTACCTTGCCAAGCATCTTGCCAAGCATGCCATTGGTCTAACACATCTGTTGTCTATAACACACCAGCCACATTCATACTTTTCAGCATTCAGCGTAAGACATCGGCCACAGTTCGATGCAAGAGCTTCGCACTTATAAACTTGGAAAAACCACAAATTACGACACCTATCACTAAAAAAATTCTGATTAACCTCCACGGCCATTCCACCAATGTTATCCAGAATGTGTTTTCTGGAAGTATCTCTCGAGGACCACACAACGTTGAACTCGACCGGAGCTGATCCTCCCGATACACCAAGCCCGTAGTGATCGAACTGCATCTCATCACATCTGGCACAAACAGAATTGGATGCAAATCAAAACAACTGCAACTTTCAGTAAATCGTTTTGCAGTCAATTTGAAATGAATGTTTCGTCTTGTCTTCATTCTTCTATTTTCTATCTACAAACGCTAGGGGTGAGAGGGAGGGGGTACAGTACGGTGGTGAGGGTCGCGCTGAAGTCCTACCCGGGGGGGGGGCGTATTCGGTTAATTTGGGTGGGGTTTAGAGACATAATTGGGGTTTGGAGCTTATTTAGGGTTAGTTACAGTATGCCGCGGCAGACTTGCGGAGTACAAAATGGGGGGGGGGTGCTCCGGCGCACGAGTGGCAGACCCCCCGCTGGGGGTCGTATTCGGGGGTCGTATTTCCCCGCTGGGGAAACCCCGCGGCCCTGCCATTTCTGCGCCGGAGGGGTCCGATCGGCTGTCTGAGGAAAAGCCCAAAAGCCCAGAAAAGTCCAAAGGCGCTCAGAAAGAGCCGGAACGAACAAAAACAAAGCATTGATCTCCTTTCCAGCACTCCGGAACTTTTGGTGGAATTCTGACATTGTGCAGACGACAGAAAACGAAGCAAAAGAACTTGGTTGCGGAATCCTCAGACAGCCGATCGGACCCCTCCGGCGCAGAAATGGCAGGGTCGCGAGGTTTCCCCAGCGGGGGGTCTGACACTCGTGCGCCGGAGCCCCCCGATTTTGTGCGCCGGAGCCCCCCCCCCCCTCCTCCCCCATTTTGTGCTCCGCAAGTCTGCCGCGGCATACTGTAACTAACCCTAAATAAGCAACCCCAATTCTGTCTCTAAACCCCACCCAAATTAGCCGAATACGACCC